TGCAGGCTTGCAAAATTGGCCTGCCCTTTAAGAAGCCGAAGGAGTGGGGGGTCTTTCAGTGGTCTGGGGTTGCCATGGCTTCCATGCCTTGGACTTCCAAAATGACATAAACCTCTCCAAGGATGAGGTGGAAAGTTCTCCGAGATCCATGCAATTGTATGTTAACGGGGACGTTCTCCCAGGAAACCAGGATCTACCCAGGGTTGCAAAAATCCTGGCCAGCCGATTGGTGGGGAACCATCCAAGAGCCGAGATGTTCCTCAAGGAAGGAGAAATGGATCGTGCAATGGCTAATCCTTGACTCGTGGTCACAATGGAGCCCAAAATTTCCGTTGCTAAGTGAGTCAGCTTTGCCCCTGCCTTTATTATTTTTTACAAATAAGATGACGAACACAATCGACACGCTTTCCTCCTCCTCCTTTCCACAGAACGACAACCCTGTGAGGTGGATTGGGTTGAGACAGAGCGACTGGCCAAAGATCATCCAATCCGCTTTCATGCCTAAGGCAGGACTAGAACTCCCTGTCTCCTAGTGATCTGCTCAAAGTTACCCAACTAGTTTTTGTGCCTAGAGCGAGACAAGAACTCACCGTCTCCTGGTGAATAGCCCAAAGTTAGCCATCCAGTTTCAACGCCTAAGACAGGACTAGAACTCACCATCTCCTGGTGACTGGTCCAAGGTTACCCATCCAAGTTTTCATCCCTAAGGCAGGACTAGAACTCCCCATCTCCCAGTTTCTAGCCTGCTGCCTTAACCACTAGGCCGAATGGGCTCTCAGTGTCAATGAAATCAGATTTTTGTCCGGATCTCATCCCTCCAAGAGTCGTGAAGTTCAGAAAAAGTTGTGGACTTCATCTTCCACTCTTGTTGGGAGAGCATCATTCTATCAACCTAACATGATAATTATAGCCCAGCAGGACTCACTTGTCTAGGGATCTGTCCAAGGTTTTGGTGCTGTCCATGGTCCTGGTTAACCAAAAGCCTCTCAGAACAATATCTGATGTCCACTACTTTTTGCTGAATGGTGTGGTGGCCTAGAGGCAGAGCTCTCGACTCACAATCAGGAGGCTGTGAGTTCAATCCTAAGTAGAGGCAGGTATTTCTCTCTTTGGCCACACCGAGAATATATCTGCTGAACAAAACTCCTCATTGGTGACAGGAAGAGTATCCGGCCAGTAAAACACTCTGCCAGCTCCATTCAGTTGCCCAGACTCCTCCCTGCAAGGGATTATGGGGGGTCCTTAAAAGGAGATGATGATTTGCATGCTTTCGAACTACTAGGTTGGCAGGAGCGAGAGCAAGGACCCCCATCGCGCAGTACCCAGGTTTCAAACCTGGGCTGCCTCTGCTCTCCAGCCAACAAACCCAGCATCTTAGCAACTGCACCCTGAGGACACATAGAATTAGGGTGAAATTTTAAACATCAAGAGTATTTTGTATTGTGGGCCAATTCCCCCTTCCAACTGAAGGATGGAACAAATATTCTCAGCCTTTGGGGATTTCAAATTGCCTTCTCTTCCGTGACTGAGCGCATGATTATAAAAACGAATCCATAAGCAATCTCGCCACATCGCTCCCATTTTCCCCATCAATTTTAAAAATTTTCACACACCCCTCATTTGTTTTTCGGCATTTATATGGAATCATAAGGACTAGATATTTGCTTGTGTCTCAGTAATAAAACAAAAAGTACCTTGAAGGATCTCTTGTCTTTTTTTTTTTTTTTTTACATAGCAACAAGCTGTATTTTGTGGCTGCTCTACCCAACAAAACAAAATGATAGAAATGGATCGTGAAACAACTCACAGTTCTAACACAAAGCACAAATTGAACTCCCTCTCCCTCTCTCCCTCTCTTTCTTTCTTTCCTTCCCTTTCTTTTTTCTTTTTTTCTCTTTCTTTCATTGCTTCCTTCCTTCCTTTCTCTTCCATTCTTTCTTTCTCTCTCTCTCCATTCTTTCTTACTTTTTCTTTCCTTCCTTCTTCCCTTCCTCCCTCCCTCTTTCTTTCTTTCCTACCCTTTCTTTCTTTTTTCTTTCTTTCTTTCTTTCTCTTTCTCTTTCTTTCCTCCCTCCCTCCCTTTCTTTCTTTCTTTCCTTCCCTTTCTTTCTTTTTTCTTTCTTTCTTTCTCTTTCTTTCCTTCCTTCTTCCTGCCTTCCCTTCCTCTCTTTCTTTCCTTCCCTTTCTTTCTTTTTTCTTTCTTTTTTCTTTCTTTCTTTTTTCTTTCTTTCTTTCTTTCTTTCTTTCTTTCTTTCTTTCTTTCTTTTCTTCCTTCCTTCCTTCCTTCCTTCCTTCCTTCCTTCCTTCCTTCCTTCCTTCCTTCCTTCCTTCCTTCCTTCCTTCCTTCCTTCTTCCCTCCCACCCTCCCTCCCTCCCTCTCTCTTTTCTTTCTAGTTCAAAAATCCAGATTTTAGCCTCCCAGGTGTTAGATACATTTTAAGCTTCAGGTGCTCTCCTTAGACAAGGCCATCAAATTAAAATCCACTTCAGCCCAAGTTCCCCAGAGGATTTGCTGACATCCTTCCAGCCTGGAGGGAGAAGGACACGTTCCAGAAAGTTGATTCTCCACCACCAACTCTTGCGGGATTGGACCAAATGCTCTTCCCACCCACTGGAACAATGCTCACCTAATGAGATGTGCTGCCCTCTCATTACGGCATTCGTTTCTCTCTCTGGTCCATTAGTGGCAGGTGCTTCCAATTTCCCTCCCCACAAGCAGACTCTAAATGATGAAACGCAGGCAGCGCTGCCCGCATCTGCTGCATGTAAGCACAGAGACCCCTCCCCATCGACCTTAGCCAAAAGGACAAGCTGAAAACCCATGGAACAGTTAGCCTTCCTCCCCCCGCCACCCCCCCAATCTCATCTCAGGCTCTGCTGATGTGAGTTACAACAAATGCAGTTGAGAAAGTCCAGAAATATTTCACAAGAAGAGTTCTCCGCTCCTCTACCCGTTGCAGAAGACCTTATGCCACCAGACTTGAAACTCTAGACCTAGAAAACCTAGAACTACACCGCCTTCGGTCCGATCTAAGTATAGTACATAAAATTATATGTTGCAATGTCCTACCTGTCAATGAATACTTCAGCTTCAACCATAACAACACAAGAGCACACAATAGATACAAACTCAAGGTTAACCGCACCAAACTGGATTGCAGGAAATACGACTTCAGCCACAGAGTGGTCAATGTCTGGAATACTCTACCTGCCTCTGTGGTTTCTTCCCCAAACCCCCAAAACTTTAACCTTAGACTGTCTACTATTGACCTCACCCCTTTCCTAAGAGGTCTGTAAGGGGCATGGATAAGCGCACCAATATGCCTACCATCCCTGTCCTATTGTTTCTTTTTTTATTTTTCTTATACGTATCCATTTAATGTAGTCATAACTATGTTTATACTTATACCTGTTATCTTATAATCACTTGACAAAGTAAATAATAAAAAATAAAAAATAAAATAAATGAAAACTTCCCCTTTGCAGGAAGAAGTAAGGAGAAATCTTTGCTGAATTGAAGATGCCAAACCTAATGATGAAAGATGCCTAGATGATTCCACACACACACACACCCCAGCATTTCTCCTTCACGACAATCAAGGAGTTTGAAGAGAAAAGGCAATAAGGAAAGCGGGGAAAAAAAGATTAAGAACCTAGACTTCATTACTTAAAAAAATAAATAAATTCAAATCTACAATGGTCTTCCCAATGGGAATCCTTTTTGGCTCAGCCCTGCTTTAGGAAATAAATCCAATTGGTTGGATTTATCCAACATGGCACAGGACCAGTGGTGGGATTCCATTTTTTTTTTACTACCAGTTATGTGGGCTTGGCTTGGTGGGCATGGCAGGGGAAGGTCACTGCAAAATCCCCATTCCTATTCTGACCCAAACCTGGTTCCAAGGAAACAAACACGAAACAGAAGTAACAGCAAAACCTTTTTATGAATCTTTACGAATTCCTTCCTGGTTAAAAGGCTGTTTCAAACTACTTGTCTCTGATAAGAACGAGCCTTGCCAAGGTGGTGCAAGGCTGCCAAGAACACTAGGTAAAGTTGCCAAGAAATATTTCAAACACAAAGAGTCTCCAAACACCAACCAAGATATTCCGAATGTCCACAAGGCTTGAGTGCAAAAACTTTTTTGTTTCTTGCAAAGAACTCCGGTTTCTCAGCTGGCTTTTATCTCTTAAGGGAGGAGCCATTGCCTTGCAGCCTTACTCCCGAGTCGCCCGTGCTGCTGCAGCTGCTCTTTCCTTTGAGCAGCCCTGCGTGCGTGCACACTGGGCACAGGCTCCTCGGGGACCTCTTCCTCACTGCTGCCAGCCTCCACAATCTCCGAAGGCAGCACTCCACTCCCTGATGGTCCTGGCCTCATCCCTGCATCACACGCGGGCTCCTCATCTCGGTCCTCACTCTCCGAGACCTCAGCCATCCTCACCTGCTGCCGGCGAACCACAACAATTCCCTCCCCACCCCATTAACCTGCTTTCCAGCTCCGTTCTCCTGTGCAGGGCAACCAAAGAAGACCCGATCAGCTGAGACTCAATGGGAGGCAGAGAAGAGATGGGGTTGGTGGGGCCAATCAGAGGCGGGATTTGCCAGTTCTCCAAACTACTCAAAATTTCTGCTACCGGTTCTCCAGAACCAGTCAGAACTGACTGAATACCACCTTTGTGTAGGACATCCAACTTTGGCTTATATAAGATTCTTATTCTGTAAGATAGACCATGATATCCGTTGGCTGAATAGACAATAAGAAATTCAGGACATACTGCCCGCTTGCTGATCCTTGGGCTCCTGCCTTCTGGTGCTTTGGAAAATAAGTTGATCAGAGGTCACCAACTGTCCAAAATACACTTTAAAATATGGAGCTTGGGGCGGCGGGGGACGATGGTGGAAATGCATGCAAAATGTATTTAAGGGAATATGGGCTCCATGGGTGGCAGATAGGCTTGTCAAAATGATCCACAAGCTTACAGCCCCGCGTGTCTTGCTAATGTGCTCCTTTCTCTTTCTCTCTCCAGATAATGACTGCTGCCTGTTGACTTAGTGTTGTGGTTGCAGGAGGTACACAATAGCATGAGTAATGACAGGTTGCTTCACTGAGACAGGGGCATTGGCGAATTAAGACACAACCGCTCTAACTCTTCAAATACTTTAAATGAATTGGGTTATCAAGGGATCCTTCTATAGTCACAAGTTGTTCTGTTAGCCCTTCTTGACCATTAAATTGTACGTTTTTTTTTTTTTTTTTTAGCTTTCCAGACCACATGCGACCTAGCTAAGAGTCTCCTAGAATTCTCCAAGAGGCTTGTAACACAGTCTCAAGTGGACAATTTCCCCAAGATAAATTGGAGGTAGTTAGTAATTCTCCTGAATCCAAGAGCACACGTTCCCCAAACACCCCCCATCCTTCACAGGATTTGTTCTTATTAAACATTGCTGTGGCTGAGAAGGAACAGAAGGAAGAAATGCATCTCTTTTTAAACCAGTGCTCCGATGCTTCCAAAAACCTGGTAGAACCAATGAATCAACCGTGTCTAAAATTATTGTACTGTTTAGACAGCTGGAGGAGGCTTCCAATCATGCTGTCAGCGGTGGTTTAAAACAGGGAAGAAAAACCGAGCATTAAGAAAATATTGCTTTGTAAAAATTGAAAACGGGGACCTGTCACAACACTAGACCAAAATTATATATATATAATTTTGCCAATCAGGATGAAGAAAAAACCATTCTGGCACAGCAGTAGGCTAGCCCCAAATGTAAAACTGAAACAACTGTAAAAGTCTGACTCACAGACGAACACAATACAGAAGCCATACTGTTAGATGTCTTCAAAACCAGCCAGTATTAAAGATCTACAGATTATTAGAGTTGGAAGGGACCTTGGAGGTCTTCTAGTCCAACTCTCTGCTTAGGCAGGAAACCCTACCCCATTTCAGACAAATACTTGTCCAATCTCTTCTTAAAAACCTCCAGTGATGGAGCACCCACAACTTCTGGAGTCAAGCCATTCCACTGGTAAATTATTCTCACTTTCAGGAAATTTCTCCTTCATTCTAGGTTGGTGTCATGGCCTTGGTAGAGTCAGACTCTGAGGGAGAGGAGGAACAGCTGACAGGGGTTGGAGGTGTGGCTCCGGAGGTTGTGGAGGAGGCTGGGGAAGGACAGAGGTTGGCTGGGCAGTCAGAGGAAGAACCAGGCCCATCCCCTCTCCATCCTAGGACACACAGGGAGGAATGGAGAAGGAAAAAACTTGGCTTATGAGAGAGGAAGCGGCCATGATCCCCTCATTGGTTGCAGCTGGGAAGAATAGTATATAAGAGAAACGGTTACAACACAGCACTGCCAGAAGCAAAGCGTGCGTTATTTTGGTCTGAAGTTATCTTGGTTGGCGTTCTTCCAACAGACTGAGCCTTGTTATCTTCTTGAATTTGGTAATTACTTATCCTGGTCCATTGAGGAAATTTCATCATTGTAGTTTATTTGTTTTTTTTTTTATTTCACCTCTCTTTGCTCATTAAGTTCGGACTGTATTGCTTTCTTTCGAAGACTGTTTTTGAGTACGTTTTATCTCCAACTGAGTATTATTGAACAGCGGGGCCAAGTTGGAGGCATTAAAGGGCGTTTATTTACGTTTTGGATTTTGTTACGTTTGTATTACACTCCAGGTCATCACAGTTGGATTGCTCTTTTATAAGCTTCGATCCATTACTTCTTTTCCTGCTCTTTGGTGCTTTGGAAAATGATATTGGAAGACTGCTATCCTGTCATCCCTACTCCTTCTCTTCATCAGACTAGACATATCTAGTTCCTGCCACTGTTTATCGTAGGGTTTAGCCGGCTGTCACCTAATTATCTTTGTTACTCTTCTCTATCCTCCTTCTAGCCTCTCTATATCATTTTTGTCTTTCCAAACAGTAGCACAATAGAAGGTTGATCAGAAATAGAGAGGAGCTATATGCTCATATTAAGGTTACTATTCATTGTTTTAATATTTTAATGTTTTATATGGTTGTCTATTCTGGACCTGTGTATTTTGGTTTTTTTTCGTTCCTAAATGCAGGATCTTACTTTTCTCACCACTGAATTGCAGCTGATTGGATTTGTTTATGGTTCAAGGAATATGCAAATCCAGAAGAAAATCAAATGATGCCATCTTGCCAATAACCATATGGGAGCCAAGCTCTTCTCCAAAGCACCTGAAGGCAGGATAAGAAGCAATGGATGGAAACTAATCAAGGAGAGATGCAACCTGGAATTAAAAGGAATTTCCTGACAGTGAGAATTAATCATTAGTTCGACTTGCCTCCAGAAGTTGTGAATGCTCCAACACTGGAGGTTTTCAAGAAGAGATTGGACAATTGTTTGAACTTGTGTAGGGTCTCCTGCTCGAGCAGTGGGTTGGACTAGAAGACCTCCAAAGTCCCTTCCAACTGGGGTGGGATTCAAATTTCTTAACAACCAGTTCTGTGGGCATGGCCTAATTTGTGGGTGTGGCTTGGTGGCCATGTGACTGGCCGGGCGTGGCTTGTATGTAAATATTGTAAATATATATGAAAAGATTGAATTTTTTATTTTTTTTAAAAAAGAGCAACTTTTACCCAAAATCAGGCAAAGCAGGCAGGTAGATTGATCTGCTTGCAGAATCACAGATTCACTCAGAGATCTACCTTTCTGCAATCTGCTGCTTGAGACTGCACTGAAAAATAGAAGCTTCAGTCCTAAGGAAGGTTCAGCTCTGCTTTTAGGCCACTTCTGCCTTCCTCAACCCCCTGAATACCACCCTTGGGTGGGCCTCAGGGAAGCCTCCTGGGTGGGGTGGGTGGGAGGGGAGGGGCCAGCCAATGGTGTGATATGCCGGTTCTCCGAACTGCGCAGAATCGTAACAACCGGTTCTATAGAACTGGTCCAAACGGGTAGAATCCCACCCCTGCTTCCAACTCTATCATTCTATGTTCTCTATCCCATTTCCCTTTGGCTTAACTCAGTGTCATTGCCTCTGAGGACCAACAGCATTGACCTACTCTGAACATCCAACCCATATTAATCCATGGAAATAGTCGGCGGATCAATCACTTGAAAGCAAGTAGGCCTAATGCTTAATTGCAGGAAGAATTAGGATCTTAATGAAGGCCAGATCTCTGAAGGAAGTTAGCTAATGCCATATATCCTGGCCATTAACTTCACTATTGAACGTAATTTTTTTATTTATTGCAAGTCCGTGCAGACCTACTTTGACTCCTCAGAATACATAGACCTGTTCTCCGGACAAATGATACAGATTAAGGAAAGGATTTAAATTTCAGAGAACTGCGGATGTTGACATTAAAAATAGGAATAAGCTTACAGCTATTCTCCAAAGCGCCTGAGGGCTGGACAAGAAGCACTGAATGGAAGCCCAACGCAGGATAATCCAACTGGGAACTAAGGAGGCATTTCCTGACCGTGAGAATAATTAATCGATGGAACAGCTTGCCTCCTGGAGTTGGCTCCCTTGCTGGAGGTTTTCAAGAAAAGATTGCACAACCCTTTGTCTGGGAGGGTATAAGGACTTCTGCCTTGGGCAGGGGGTTGTACTAGAAGAGGTCCCTTCCGTCCCTATGTCTGTAGAGATTCTCAACCATCCAGGTCATGGTTGATGGTCCCAACGGTGCTTTTTCAGGAGGCAACTGGAATTTCTTTTTGTTGTTGTTGTTGTTGTTGTTGTGAAGATGTTTCACTTCTCCTCCAAGAAGCTTCTTCAGCTCTGACAGGAAAGTGGGGATTGGAAGGATTGATACTCCTTGCAGACAGCTGGTCATTTGCATCCTTTCAGAGGGTCGTTGAGGCCACTTGGAGGTATATCTGTGTTATCAGAGTCACCTGAGTGGTGTAAATGGGTGTGGAGCCTTCTGACTGGATGGTGCAGAAGGGAAAGGTTTATATTCCTTGCAGACAGCTGGTCATTTGCATCCTTTTAGAGGGTCGTTGAGGCCACACTTGGAGGTGTGTCTGTGTTATCAGAGTCACCTGAGTGGTGTAAATGGGTGTGGAGCCTTCTGACTGGATGGTGCAGAAGGGAAAGATTGATACTGCTTGCAGACAGCTGGTCATTTGCATCCTTTCAGAGGGTCATTGAGGCCACTTGGAGGTTTCTCCGTGTCCTCAGGAATCAGGAGCACTATTCAGGTGGCCCTGAGGACCCAGATAAACTTCCAAGTGGCCTTAATGACCCTCTGAAAGGATGCAAATGACCAGCTGCCTGCAAGGAGTATAAATCCTTCCGTTCCCCACCATCCAGTCAGAAGCTTCTTGGAGGAGAAGTGAAATGTCTTCAAAAGAAAAAAAGCAAGGAAATTCAGTTGCCTCCTGAAAAAGCACCCTTGAGATTTCCACCTCTATGATTCTGTCACTTCAATAGATACTCCCTCTTTAAACAAGGTTCAGAAGGTATCTCAAGTGCTTGACTGAAAAGAAGGATTAGGGGTGACATGATAGCAGCGTTCCAATGTTTGAGGGGCTGCCACAAAGAAGAGTGGGGTCAAGCTATTTTCCAAGGCACCCGAAAAGCAACAGATGGAAACTAATCAAGGAGAGAAGCAACCTAGAACTAAGAAGAAATGATCCCGCCCTTCCTTCATACAATTTCTTCATTTGGGCGCGGCTGGTTTGTATGAAAGCCGTTGGCCGTGTTTTATTAACCTGGGTTTAGCTGGTTGTGCGAACCCGGCCAGAATAAAACCTGCCTCTTTGAGCATTCATAAATTCTATTTTTTGTTCTTTTCTTCACCTCACAGCTGCCCAGGCCCAACCGAGCAGCGTGAACTAAAATATCTCAGCTTCGTCCATAAAAATAGTCCCTTCAAATATGCAAATGCATGCAAAGCGGTATCTTTTTTGCATCTCCTTTTTTAAAGGGACATATGCTTGATGACGCATCCGTGCACCCAAGCTGGCTAGAAATGCTTCGTCTGCAAAATTTTGCACATTCAACCCCTGAATTTATGTTTTGGGAGGGTGTGTGTGTGAAGAGGGAGAGAAGGTTCTTTTATACTTTATTTTACTTTTTAAGTTTACTTAAGTTAATCTTACTTCATTTCAGTTTATTCTATTTTATTTTTCTTAACCTTACCTTACTTTATTTTTTAATTAAATTTTATTTTAGTTTACATTACCTTACTTTATTATTTTACTTTACTATACTTTATCTTAATTTTATTTTTTTAGTTTAGTTTACTTTACCTTATTTTATTTTACTTCTTGTTTTTGTTTAGTTTAATTTATCTTACTTTGTTTCATGTTTATTATCTTTTACTTTATTTTTCTTTGACTTTATTTTTTAAATTTTAGTTCAACTAATTTACATTTACTTTTTTTAATGTAATTCTACTTCATTTTACTTTACCTGACCTGGCCTTATTTTATTTTTTTGTTTTATTTTAGCTTTGTTTACTTTACTGTTTTATTTTAATTTACCTCACTATTTTATTTTAATTTATTTTACTTTACCTATATTATTTTACTTTACCTCACTATTTTATTTTACTTTACTATTTTATTTTACTTTATTTTACTTTACTATTTTATTTTACTTTATTTTACTTTACTATTTTATT